CCCCCCCCCCCCCCCCCCCCCCAGGCACTGAAATGGGAGAGACAGAAACAGAAGGTGGTTCTTAAAGAGACAGAGGTCAATTGCAAGGCGTTTAGAAGAGGAAGTGATGAGAAGATAAGTTTATTTTCTATTTAAACATGAACACAACATTTTAATAACAGCTAAAGGTGACATAGATACTTTATTATGGTATAGTATTTAAATGTATGCCTGAGAAACACATAATATTGCCCCTTTAAGTAGTTTATCATGTATATAATCAAAAAGCTGGGTATTTGTGGGGAGAAATTCTAATTCAGCTTTATTATGGGCTCTGGGCAACAGATGATGCAGTTGGTTGTAAAACTGAATAGAAACAAAACGATTGAAGTCTGTTCGCTCCAGCAGATGTTCCATGTTGGTTCATTAGTCGTACATTTCCACATTCGTTCAAATTKAGTGAATTTTTTAGATCACAGTGAACAATCTTTCCAATAAAACCATCTGTGTGCAAACCTGCACATTTGGGTTTTATATTAATTCACATAGCGTTGGGCCGTTGGTCCTGCCGCACCAATAAATGAGTTGTAAATGCTCAGTGAATTCACAAACGCTCTCTGTTTCTGTTCAGGTTTGATGGGAACTTTAACACCAACGTCTCCAAGACCATCTGCTGCGACAGACTTTCTCCCAACGTCAACAGCAGAGCCTTCAACCCGGGGCGAGAGCTCAACTCAGGTTTGTTCAACCGGCATTGCATGCAGGGACGGACATTTTTCTCATGTGCAAACCAATCCGGTTTAAGAGCTTGGACTTCTATCATGTGCTGTTATATGAAATGAGCAATAATCTAATGGCTGTTGCCATGAGAACACATTTTTACAAAGACCTTGATTCATCTCTTCTGTCTTTCTCAGCTCCTGGAATTTTAACGAAGTGAGAGACATTGATGTGAGAATAAGACTTGCACTAAAGAGATGCTTGAAAGTCTCTCGTTTTATCTTTTTCTTTTAGTTATTATTTCCCCCTAACCTTTCATCTGTCTGAGATCAAATGATCTCGTTTTGACTTTGAACTCTCGTCTGCAGTTATATTCATTGCGTCTTTGTTAATGCTTGTTTTTTTGTTTTTGTTCTGATCTCAAATGGTTGCATCAGTTCTTAAAAGTTGAACGTATTCGCAGATATTTTTATGCCTTAGCTGTGTGATGTGAGCAAAAGCTTTGGAAACMAGTTTGGTTCTCACCGCTGCCACAAAACATTTATTTCAGTTCCAGATGSACGTTGCAGAATGTTACCTTGTAAAACCCACACGTGTCAGCGCCACACTTGTTTGTCTGCATYTGATTATGAACACAACGGACAAATAAGATTAAAAGTGCATAAAAAGCCTGTTGGATCCTGCTGCTTTTTCCGTTCTGGTGCCATTAATCTGTTTAGCTCCTGCCTTCAAAGGAAAAGCTCCAAACTATATACATGCAGAAAGCGCCCAGCATGCTCCATCTGAAGCTGAGCAGTCGATGTGTGTCAGAATAGAATAGAATAGAATAGAATAGAATAGAATAGAATAGAAATAGCCTTCATTGTCCCACTGTGGGGAAATTCAGGTGTCACAGCAGCATCCGTACAGAGGTTCACACACTACTTAATTTACAAACTACAGACTGCACAAAAAACAAAATTAACACTAACTAGCAATGAAACAACTACTAATAATAAAAATAAAATATAAAGTATTGTGCAAGAATAAAAAAAGATGTTTTGTTTTATAGACCGTAGTTACCCATCAGAGTTTGACATTAGGAATTAGAATTTGCCTGTTTTCAGTGCAAAACAATCTCAACAGACTATTAACTGTAACGTATCACAGTGCAGACAAGAAACATGGATGTGCAATTACAGCAGAATTATTTTTAAAGCAAATGATTGGTCAGATTATTAATAATATGAGTAGTAGTGCAAACTGTTGTTCAGATGAGTAATGACAATGAAAAGTAACAGTACAAATGATTGTGTGGGCAGCAGGTGTGTAAACACTTACTGTGATTTTTGGGCGTGGTGCTGGTTATAGAGTCTGACAGCTGCTGGGAGGAAGGATCTGCGATAGCGCTCCTTTGTGCACCTCGGATGCAGAAGTCTGTCACTGAAGGAGCTCTCCAGTTCAGCCACAGCWTCATGTAYTGGGTGGGAGATGTTGTTCATCAATGATGTTATTTTAGTCAGAGTTCTTCTGTCTCCCACCACCTGCACTGTGTCGAGGGGGCATCCTAGCACAGAGCTGGCCTTCCTGATGAGCTTATCCAGCCTCTTCCTCTCAGCTGCAGATAAGCTGCCGCTCCAGCTTACCACCCCGTAGAAGATGGCTGATGCCATCACAGAAGCCGTGTTTCCATCAAGGTTTTTTTAATGGTCATTTTGAAGTATCGCATCAGAAAAGGTGAATGGAAACGGCATGATTCAAAAAAACTTTCTCTAATTCGCATAAAAGTTGATACGCTCGCTTGAGGTGTTTTTTTAAAGAGTTAATGCGCAAAAGGAGAGATGGAAACACATTTGTCGAATAAGTTCTGACGTAGTGAACATTTACCTCACATGTTGATCAGCTGTTCCCGCTGTCTGAACGGTACCGATACCAGAGCGACTGCAGCCGCGACTGGCAGCAGGACACTCCTCCCACTGTCGACATATTCTCAGTTAATCCCGTAACGTGAAGAGAATTGCATTTCTTTCTTTACGTCTCCAGACAGCATGTAGCATCACCAAAACTAGTTGAAATGACAGAATAAGTACAACTTTCCCGATAGTAGCAACACGTTCCTGATAACTTCTCTCCATTTTCCTGAGATGCGACTTTTACTTCCTGTTTACTACAYGCGTGCGTCTGACGTAACTGATTCACTTCAAGCCAGTTGATGGAAACACGTCTGATTCACATTTCTTCGTTTTTTTCCTTTTTGCGAAATTTAAAATATTTGCTCAAAATTCGAATTAGAGTTGGATGGAAACACGGCTAGTGTCAAAAAAAATCTTCATGTTTGTTCGACTTGTTTTTGCGCACACCTTTTACAGAACCTAAGACACTTTGTGTTGAGCTCCTGGGAAACCCCTCCCACTGCGCTACATGTCACAGCACTAGATTTCTTCCCAGTGGAGCTAAAGTGGCAGGAAAAAAAACCGTCAGATATCCACCATTATTTTGGCCACAAATCTGTGCTGGTTAAATAACCATAGTTTTTGGCAGACAAATATCTTTGTTCACAACATCTGTGCTCACTCCACCTATGAGTTTTTGGCCATGTACATAAATTTGATAAACTTCCATAAGCTTTGCAAGCCAGGGGTTTGGCATTATTATATTTAAAATGGTCCCCAAACAATATTATCATTTATCGCAATAATTCCTGAGACAATTTATTGTCCAGCAAAATTTGTTTTTGTGACCGACCTAATGTCACACAAGCTTTATTTCCAAGAATATTTAATATTTTCTTAGAAAAGGGGGTCTTTGCAGTCACTAAGTAGGAGTTTATTATTTTGTGGGAGGAGTTTGCCCAAGACGTGATTGGTCGGATTGACGGTGGGGTTTGAAGAAGCTAAGGGCATCTGAGAGTAGCTTGGCCAAATCAGCCAGGAGGCACCTATAATTTTAAAATATACATTTTAATTTTAGTCATAACTTGAGACAGGAAGGAACACCGTACTTGTGGGACGTGTAACAATTTGGCTCAGTCAAAACATCCCTAACCAGCCTGCAAAAAGATGGCTCAATGAAAATGACTTAATATTAGTTATAACTTCAGACATGAATGTGTTTGCTGCACAAAATTTGAAGTCAATAAATTGTGTTCACAATAGTTTTTATTTAAATCATTGTTCTGGTTTAAACTGTACATAGTCAATAAATCATATTTTACTATTACCATCACTTCCTCTTTTAAGTTACTCCACCAATCCGACCAATCACGATCAGGAAAAACTCCGCCTACACACCAACTCCGCCCTCACTAAGACCTCCACCAATCATGGTTAGGGCAAACTCCGCCCTCACCAAGATGACCGCCAATCACGGTTGGGGAAAATTCGGCCCACAGAACAATATGTACCGCAGAGACCCYTACTTGTTCTCCAAGAATTTGCTGAGCGTTTTGTGTTTAGTTAGCGAGGTATGTTGGTCATGTTCAGGCAGAATACMGAGTATATTTAGGGTTAAAATTAGGAAATTTAGTATTTATGCAACCACTTCTAAGCACAAGCTGCTTAAAAGTTTCGAAAGCAGGACTTTCGGTTCAGTAACTTTAAACGAAAGGCATCCCGTCTGAAGCAGACTGAACACTGGATTCTTTCATTTCCCCAAATCTATTGTCCTCCCTGTTTCCTGTTCCTGGGGAACCATGATCATCACCAGTTCATCCCCTTTCATCCCATCACCACCCCGCCTCATAGATTTTTTTTTCTTCTTCCAGTCACTCCACTCTGCAAACCCCTTCATAATGACAGCCATTCATGAGACGTCACCACTGACCAGGTTTTATTTTCCTTCCAAGCCAGTCATAATGAGTTCAAGTTACCCCCTCCACCTCCCTTCCCCTCTTCTCATCCCTCACACTCACCCCTCCTTGACCCCCACGCTCCCGGTATATTCAGCCTCTCCCATTTGTCTCGGCCCAGTCTAAACAGGCCCGCTGCAGAGAGAAGGGAGGGAGTGGCCAACACCAAGGATAATTGAGAAGGAGAAGATGATGAATGAAGGGAAACATGGGCGGGGTGAAAACTGATTGGAACGTGTTGCGTTGCATTTCTTCCAGCTTCTCCCCCTTTGTTTATTTTCCATTTAATTTTATCTTTTTATGGGGCGATGAGGACAATGGTGGGTATGGGAGGCATCAGGACTTAAACCAGCTGGTTGGGGAGGAAGAGGCAGGTAGATAAGAAATGTCAGAGTCTGAGTGCAGCATGATTACAGAACTAGTTTGATCCCCTATTTTTTGTCAGTCTTCCCTTGAAATTTCAATCATTTTTATTCTCAAAGAGGTGTCTGAGTCCTCCAATTTACAACTGATTCCTCCCCACCCCTTCCTCCATCCACCCATTGAATATATTTAGTTTGCCTATTTTTACTCAATGCATTGTCCAGTCTTTTGTTCTRGACATTTTTTGTAGTTTTGCATGGACAGTAATTACTGTTACAACATGGATAATGGGGTTTGCACTAATTTGGTGAAAACTTTCTACATTTGGCACAAAGTTTTGTTAGATATTATTAATGAATCTTTGTCACTTTTAAGTTAATGTTTTTGTTTTTATTGATTCCATCACAAAAAAGATAGTTTATTTTACTTTTAATCCTCAAACTTCCCAGAGATTATTCAGGCATCAGGCTAACCATGTTGGTACCCCTTCCTTTCTCTAGGGTGTAGCTAACAGAAAGGATTTTTGCTAACACTTTGTAATAACTACACCTTATTTAGCCTGACATAATCATTAATAAGTGGTTAGTTAACCTTAAAATCACTAATTAAGGATAATTCAGAATAGCTAAAAATTAAAACATTTATTAATGCTTTACTCATAAACCCTAATTACTGCCAAATCTAAGTCAGTGTTTATTCATGCTTAATAACTCATGAATAAACTATTCTGTCTGTAGATACATGTAAATACTCATATAAATGTACTTTCACACCATGTATTATGTAATAATGGTTAGAGAATGTATGAAGTGAAGTTCTACTAATCCTGCTAATAATGAAGGCAGTTACTATTTAAGTCTTTTTGTGATTTTTTTCTAAAGTGAAGGCTATTAATGTTTTTTTTAAGTATTTGTTAATGGAGACAAAACCCTGAGGGGCCACAAGTTCTTTATCACCTGTATCATCATAATCAGTTCAAATATTCTCTAACCATTAATCCATGTCTAACACATGATGTGAACGTACATTTATATACATCTACGCAGTATATGAATAGTTAATTCATGAGTTATTAAGCAGGAATAAACTAAGTATATTGGTTTTTGGAAATAATTAGACTTTATGTCGAAAACATTAATAAATGTGTCAATTTACACTCACCGGCCACTTTATTAGGTACACCACGCTAGTAAYGGGTTGGACCCCCTTTTGCCTTCAGAACTGCCTCAATTCTTCGTGGCATAGATTCAACAAGGTGCTGGAAGCATTCCTCAGAGATTTTGGTCCATATTGACATGATGGCATCACACAGTTGCCGCAGATTTGTCGGCTGCACATCCATGATGCGAATCTCCCGTTCCACCACATCCCAAAGATGCTCTATTGGATTGAGATCTGGTGACTGTGGAGGCCATCTGAGTACAGTGAACTCATTGTCATGTTCAAGAAACCAGTCTGAGATGATTCCAGCTTTATGACATGGCGCATTATCCTGCTGAAAGTAGCCATCAGATGTTGGGTACATTGTGGTCATAAAGGGATGGACATGGTCAGCAACAATACTCAGGTAGGCTGTGGCGTTGCAACGATGCTCAAYTGGTACCAAGGGGCCCAAAGAGTGCCAAGAAAAGATTCCCCACACCATGACACCACCACCACCAGCCTGAACCGTTGATACAAGGCAGGATGGATCCATGCTTTCATGTTGTTGACGCCAAATTCTGACCCTACCATCCGAATGTCGCAGCAGAAATCGAGACTCATCAGACCAGGCAACGTTTTTCCAAACTTCTCTTGTCCAATTTCGATGAGCTTGTGCAAATTGTAGCCTCAGTTTCCTGTTCTTAGATGAAAGGAGTGGCACCCGGTGTGGTCTTCTGCTGCTGAAGCCCRTCTGCCTCAAAGTTCGACGTACTGTGCGTTCAGAGATGCTCTTCTGCCTACCTTGGTTGTAACGGGTGGTTATTTGAGTCACTGTTGCCTTTCTATCAGCTCGAACCAGTCTGCCCATTCTCCTCTGACCTCTGGCATCAACAAGGCATTTCCGCCCACAGGACTGCCGCTCACTGGATGTTTTTTCTTTTTCGGACCATTCTCTGTAAACCCTAGAGATGGTTGTGCGTGAAAATCCCAGTAGATCAGCAGTTTCTGAAATACTCAGACCAGCCCTTCTGGCACCAACAACCATGCCACGTTCAAAGGCACTCAAATCACCTTTCTTCCCCATACTGATGCTYGGTTTGAACTGCAGGAGATTGTCTTGACCATGTCTACATGCCTAAATGCACTGAGTTGCCGCCATGTGATTGGCTGATTAGAAATTAAGTGTTAACGAGCAGTTGGACAGGTGTACCTAATAAAGTGGCCGGTGAGTGTATAGCTTATTAAGTTTAAATCATCCTTAATTAAATATGTTTTCAAGGTTAACTAACTATTTATTAATGATTAAGTAATGCTAAATAAGGCGTAATTATTATAAAGCCTTACCGGATGTTTTACTGTCGATAGGTTTATGTTTTACTGTCATTTTCTTGGACTTGCTGCAACAGCAAGATCACTGAGTTACAACCAAGTGATCCAATGAAGTTCTGATAAAACCTAATGGTTAAAACCTAAAAATGTAAAATATAAAAATCCAGCTGGGTGTTTCTGGATGTTTTTCTTGAAGCTGAATCTGTTGCGGTCAGTATGTTAAAGCAGGTTGTCTGCAGTGAGACAGGACTAATAAGGCCAGAGGAAAAGGTCACGAGGGCACCACTTCTCTCCTCGTCCACCCACTTCTGAGGAGGTTTAAACACGGGTGGCAGAATAGATCACTGAAACCTGACATTTGTATACACAATCCTTCTTTTATTGTCAACACAACAGMGTGGTTCCTGTTTATGTGAGCCACAAAGATCGATGTGATTGTGGAGTTTATGTGTGATCAGTGCATCTGTCCGTCGCAGATGAATTATTAGACTGATGTGAGATTAGACTCTGCACTTTGGGTTTGCATTCCTACGTTTTAATAAGTGCAAAGATGTTTAAACAGCTGTACTGTTTTATTCTTTTTATTTTTTTTAATGACGTCTGCTTTCGTGGCTATGCATAGTTTGTTCTCTTTCCGTCCCCCCCCACTCTCTCACTAAAGCCCCAAAGTTATTATTTCTCTCTCCTGAACTCCACCTACCCTCACCCGCCCGCCATGTCTTTGTGAAAGCTTGTGTTTTGTTGCGCTGAGCGGAAAGGAAGTTGGAAATATTTCTGTAAAGACTCTGTTGACTCAGTGATTCAATAAATCTTTATGCTGAAGTTGTAGCTGGCCACTCTTTCAGACTATATTCAGATAAAAAAGATAAAAAGCCCAGATAAACAGGAAACTCAGGCAAAGTTGGACAAATATTTACTTATTGACATAAAAGGCAGGATTGAATCATGTGTATTTGTTCTGTTGCCTCTGATAAACTGAGAAAAAAGTTTAAATGAACAAAATGTAAAGCTTTGAATGGCCTTTTCAGACTGTTTGTTTCATATGGAACTAGAAAATAACTGGATCTGCTAAAGGTTCATCCAAGATAAGCAACAATAATTGCTTGTTTGATAAAGTGATCAGATCAACAGATTGGCAACTCCCACCTTTAACTTTTTTTTCCCTTCCTCTGCAGTGTTGGCCGACAACCTGAAGTCCAACCCGGGGATAAAGTGGCAATACTTCAGCTCTGAGGAGGGCATCTTCACCGTCTTCCCTGCCCACAAGTTCCACTGCAAAGGAAACTACGAGCATCGCAGCCGGTATCAAACCTCCCCTTCTACTCTGTCGCAATGTGCCGTGCAAATTTTAATCATTTGTTTTTTTATTTTGAAAATGAATATTGTGAAACAGATGGCTTATTCTGTTTTCATTTTATACACCAAAACCGGACAAACAATTTGTCTTTTTATTTTTTCCTCATCCCCAAGCTGGTAACTCAACACTGGTCCTGTGCTTTCTCTTGGGCTGTGTCCAAACTCAGGGACTGGGTCCTCCAAAGGACCTGGCTTACCTGGTATATGTGGGCCGGGTCTTTGGTAGACCGTAAAGACTGGAAAAAAGTGGCTGTGAATTTGGTCGGTTTAGCCTTCTGCTTTATTCCTGACATATGTCCTGTCGTGTAGCAAACGTGACAATGCTAAACAGAAGCAAAAATAGATTAAAATGATCAAAACAATCAATATATTAGTATTATTAATATCATAAAACAATAAAATTAGCTTAAACGCATTATTTGAAGAACTAAGGGAACGTGCCCCATCAGAGATAAACAAACTTTAAACAAACCTGTTAAAGAAATGTAAAACTAGTCTGCTAATGTTTATTCATTGTGGCTGCCTGGTTAGCTAGTTATAAAGTAAAATGTTTTTATTCATACCATAATCAGACCATTTAAGGTGGCACTACATACATAGGTTTTAAAAGATATTAGCTAGACTATTACATACAATACATTAATATTATTTAAAAAAAATACAGTTTGCAGTTAATTTAAGAAATGTAAAAGTAGTTAGCTAGTGTTTATGTTTTGATTGGCAGGCTGTTATTAAAAAGTTATTTAACTAGCTCCACCTGAAATGGTCGGATAACTGTTAAACTTTCGGTTTGACAAAAATAAAAAGACCGTGTTCCAATTTTTGGAGTATAAAATGAAAAAAGAATAACCACCTGTGTTTTGTTTTTTCAATAATCAGACCACTGAGGCAGACTGGCCTCTTGTTTCCATCATCTTCATCACCCTCATCCACCATTTCCCTCCTCTGCTGGTTGCAGTTGGGTGGCCCAGTGGGGCACGCTCATGGCATGCTGCCTTTGTACTTCATGACCACACATGTCCTTAGCAAGAATGTGGCTCTGCACCACTGTCGTCTGATGGAGTTTCACACTTCATTCCTCTTCTTTGCACCGTGGCTGAAAGACATCTCTCTCCCTTCTGCATTTTGCATCATCTTTTTTTTATTCCCCCATSAAGTTTTTCAGATTTCTCTCATTGTTGTCCGAGCTGGCATCTTGGCTTTCAGCCATTACAGAAATGATGCAACTTCTTCTGTTGTGAATAAGGCTTTGTAACATCATGCGCTTTCTTCCTCAGCCTGTGTTAGTGTGGTGTTGTCCGGAGGACCACACACTGAGGCTTTGACCAAACCTCACTCAAATCTGCTTATAATAAACACATCTCAAATGATCATTTAAATAACAACAAAAAATGGATTAAACAATTTAGGACTGCATAATCAAATATTGGATCATTGCAGTTCAAAATTTAATGATTTAAACGTTACTTCTTTGAGTTTGACCAATTTAAGTAGACTTTTAAATATAAAAAAATCATTGCCTATCCCTTTACCAATCATGTCGCTGCCATTTGGACTTACAACAAAACTTTTAGAACACAATGGGCCTCATGCAAGAACATGTTTGTATTCTTATCCTAAATTTCTCTTACTT